TTAACAAATGCATTTTGTAGAGCAAACATTTTTCTACAAAATTAGATGTTTTACAGCTCTAAGAGAATCGTGATAACTGATTTATAGCAATTCTCCCGGATGCCCCAAAAGGTCTTCCGGCCAGACTAATCATCGCCATATACATATACTGCAGTGTATGTAGTACGGACTTGAAATCCCTGAAATCCTGAAATCCTAATAGCACCCTATGCATATACAGATATATATATGTATGTACATATACTGCAGTGTGTGGAGAGGAGGCAGTGGTTAATGAGAGTGAGGCGCAACCCAATATTTCTTACAATAGTTACTGTACATGTTAACTACATTTTCAGAATGTATAAGCATGGCGGAGTATGGTGCAATATTGTCTGGTCCCTATCAGTCGGTATGTTGGAAGTGCGGATGAGCATTTCGTGGATTTGTGGGACTTCAATATCATTTGGTTACGAGAGTAGACAACCCTCAATTTACTACATTCATATCCTGTCATAACATGTGTGAAACACATACCCATAGACAGTCAAACATGAATGTATGAATGATGAATGTTTGACCATCTATGGGTATCCGTTTGAAGCATGTCGTGACGTGGTGTGGAGGGAGTACAAGCTGAGAGTGAGTTAGGTGAACGTCATGACAGCACATGACTGATGTCAAACACGAATGGATGCTTTGTGACTGTTTGATTGTTTCTCAACTCATGTCTATTCAAGAAAAACGATCTCATAATCATAACTATTGTTATTATTATTGGAACAACAATTCCTATCAATATGCATAACCAAAACTAAATCTATTCCTAACTAAATCTGCGTCTACAGGACATATCCCTACCTATGTATGTATATATCGTTGAATATATGTATATAGAAATAGATATAGATATAAAGAATATGCATTTATATTCGAACTCGAATTAGGCAGCTACTCGGTTTCTCCCATCCGCCTGGGTAGCGATGCGTGATAACAGCGCCAATCCCGTAGTTCGAAGCATCAGTTGCCAGAATAAGTGATAGCTGTGTGTCGAAATGTACCAATGTCGTTGCTTCGGACATTTGTTGCTTGAGATTGGCGAAAGCCGTTTGACATTCTGGTGTTCACTTCTACGTTGCGTTCTTACGTCGTAAGCGATTGAGTGGTTCACATAGATCGTAGAAATTTGGTACGAATTTACCATAGTAGTTTACTTTGCTGATGAATGCTTCAATTTCTTTTACATTTTTGGGCAGCGGCAAATTCTGGACAGCTTCTACTCGCTTCGGATCCGGACGTTTGCCATTTTTGCTAATTATATAGCCAAGGTAGAATACTTTGTCTTGAAAAAAACGAACACTTATCCAAATTGCATCGAAATCCGAATTCCGAGAGTCGAGATAAGTGTTTTCGGATGTTCTTCTTCGGTGACCCCTGTGATAATAATATCGTCTAGGTATGCCGCGCAATTCAGAATACCGGCAATTATCTGGTCCATTAAGCGCTGAAAGAGCGCCGGTGCGTTTGCAACACCAAAAGGCATTCGATTGTAGCGAAACAATCCTAAAGGTGTATTGATAACAACTAGCTGTTTACTTTCTTCGCCCAGCTCAACCTGAAGGTAGGCATCTGACAAATCCAACTTGGTAAATTTTTCTCCGTTGTTGAGACGCGTGAGGAGTTCGTCGATCGACGAAATAGGATGTTGATCGACCCAGATTTGTGAACTGATCGTGACTTTGAAGTCTTCACAAATGCGAATTTTACCTGTTGGCTTTCCGACGGGTACTATCGGTGCTGCCCATGTAGATGTGTCGATTCGCTGAACGATACGCTGAATTTCCTCCTTAACACCATCGAGATAGGCAAATGCTATCGGTCGAGGTTTGAAGAACTTCGCAATGACGTTCCGTTTGAGCTGAATGTGAGCTTGTACCTTGGTACAATGACCAAGTCCTTTGTCGAAAGCGGTTTTATGTCTTCCCAGCATTGCTTGAAGTTTCACTTGATTGTAAATCTTACAAACTGGGCGTTGAACGTAATTTGATCTGTGAACGATGCGGTTCAAGTCAATTTGCATAGTGGCGAACCATTGCAGACCAAGCAGAGGTGATCCTGTACCATGCACGACAATCGTCGTAAGATTAAACGTTTGACTTCCGTAGTCAACATTGACGTCACATTGACCTTTGACTCTGAGTGGTTGACTACTGTAATATTCTAGTTTTAATGTTGACGGGTAAATGGTCGGTGATTCGATCTTTCGACAATCCTTGACACTGATAATGGTATTGTCCGCTCCTGTATCGAGCTCAAATGTGCAATCGTGGCCGTTGACGCGTAATGATAACGTCGTTGAACCTGCTGTTGGCGTTGATTGACATTTGCGTTGATTGACATGCTTCAGGTTTTGTGACAACGCTTGCCGAATATTCGGACTGTTGATACCGATGACATACATGTCTCGAAGTGCACGATCTTGAGATTTGTTTTTTAGAACGGATGTTGTGAATCCGCAATATCGTAACTTCTCACACAATTCTGCCTTCCATTCTGCAGACGTCTGTCCAGGCTTCTGGTAACAGGAGTAAAAGTCGTACGTTGCTGTCATGATGTTCTTCGTAGCATCATAGTGCGAATCGAGTAGCTTGACGAGATCGATGAATTTAGTGTCATCATCGATCAATGACTTCGGTGAAACGAGTGATTCCAGGAGATTGTACGTTGCATCTCCAACAGATCAAAGAAACAGCGCCTTCTTATCGTCATCCGTGTCGATACGGTTGTCTTTGAAGTAGAAGTTTATACGATCACGATACGGCTGCCAAGTGGTCGTACGAAGGTCGAAAGTGTATAGCGCTGGAATTGACGAAAACGTCTGTGGTGGAATAGCCATAGAACTCGATTTAGACATCCGAAATGCTGTTAGAGATCAGTACGTACCTAGATACAAGTAAAGAAATCTCGTCGTCACTGTAAATGCTGCGTGTTTTAAAACGTGAGTTCGATTTATTTCACAACATTTAACATACGATAACAGATAAAAAATGAGACACAGAAAAGGAAGACAACACGAGTATATATATCATAATTGCAGGCGAGGTCACGTTGACAAAAACAATAACACGTGACGTATGATGACGTGTGATGATATTTGATCGAGAACTCTCCACGTGAACAACTAATTCGAACATATGTACACAGATTAGTTTCTCAATTTTCTGCAAATCGAAACATATGGCGCCGGACAACTATTAATAATTAGAAAGTTCGAAGTCCAAGATATATTTTCCTTCCACTTGTGAAACTCATCTCAGAACGTGATGAACAGAACGTGAAATGGTCCACATTCAGTACCCAGAGAGCTATCTCCCTATCTTTTCAGATGTCCGTGCGTTACACGTAGTTCTCTAGATCACACAACTCACTTTTTTGGAAAAAATAACTAAACCAGAAAAAGAAGCCCTAAACAAATACAAAATGTCTATAGATACAAAACCTCTTACTTTCGAGCAAGAGCACAAGCCCATATATAGGTACAGCAGGACCCCTGAGTCAATGAAGGAATGGTGAGTCGAAGAAACAATATGAAGTAAAGAAGAATAAATAAAAACATGCAAAAAGGAAGAAATATCAAGGAATGACACATAAGAAGTATTATGTCAATGACGCACTGCCATAACAGACCGAGTTATGACCAAACAAAATTGAACTCTCATCAAGCAAAAAACCAAATAACTTTTTAACCGAAGGACAGAAAACGGTTTCTATTAGAAAATGGCCTCATATGATTTTCAGTGAAAACGACCAGAAATGCTTCCCTTTACACTTCCCAACACTTCTCATTTTCAAAAATTGCTCTTCACCTTTTTGAAAACATTATTTCTTATCATTTTTCGTCACTAGTTCAATGAAGTTCATTCACTTTATTTCTCAAATTTTTCGTACCATTTCACAGACTTTGACCAAAGACCATACATAGAAAAAGATGGAGAATTTTTCACGCTTCTAAATGAGCTATTGACAAGCTTCTCAACCATATGTCCACATAGAACAATTGTGGAAATACTCGACGTATATCATGGTTGTCACCTATCTCAAGGCTTTAAAAGAATATTTCTTCCACACATCTGCTCAGAACCGAAATATTTTATATAGCGGAAGATAGAAGATTTTCTGGGCTTTAAAATGAGCTACAACATTTTGTGCTAAAAGTTTGTCCTCATAGATTTATTGGCTAAATACTGGATAGATATCTCGATTTTTACCCATAGTGGTATATAAAAATAATCACAGTTCTTTCACTAATAGAAATTAGTAATAGTTTACATCTAGAAAAATGCAGAATTGAAAGGGCTACAAAATACGCTGTAGTACGCTGTTTCAAACCTTAACTTTAATAGACTTATGGACAAAATACCCAACGGATAGATAACTAAATAGATAAGCCACAAAAAAGCAGCAGAAATGTCTAAATTCTTTTAAAGCCTTAAGAAGGGGGCTTGATCCTCTCTCTAGATTTCGACATAGTGTGGGATGTGATCTGAAGTGTTTGATTGACCTTCTTTCTCATGTCTGAAATGCACAGTTTAGGAGTAATTCAAGAATTAAACTTAATTAAGATTTCGATTTTGATGTTATAGTAAAATGATTCATTATATTTTATTGGAATGTCCGATCAACGTCGCTGCAGAATTATTTTGTAGGCAATCTTTAGTTGTATATAATAATCTTTGAAAAGTTTTCCAACCACATAGGTTTTTTAACTGAAACATTGTTTAAACAGTGTTTTTTCCACTTTTAAGCATAAAAGCCTTGCCGCCGATTGCACGATAACAAAGACTTTCCAAGAAAAACTTTCGCAAGCGAAGTTGTAGCTGATGTCATCCTGCATGAGATAAGTGGAAGGGACCTGCAAAACAAAATTTCGAACAGAATGCATATGAAAATTAAAAATTTTGAATTTTATAATCTTTTAATTAATAATTTTTTAAAGCCTTTGTTGCTAGAAAAGAAAAACTGTTCCGCTTATTCCACGTAGTATTTCATAGGGAACAACTTTTGTTCCAACAAAATTTATGAGCTATGGTGTGCGTAGCCAGGATCCGTGGCAAGATTTTGGGGCGCGTATCCTAGCAACAAGGGCTTCCGAAAACCGCAGCAGTTATTATCATACTCCATAACTTTTAATTGCAACATGGTAGCTAGATTATCCAAAGTGGTCTCTACATTCTGCGCAAGGCCGACCTCTCCACCTGTTGTGGTTCACGAATAGCAGGCAATTACCGTACGAAATGATAACGAATTATGGGTGACTCAGGAAAATGCCTGCTATTCGAGAACCACAAGAGATCTAAAGCCAAGCACAAACAACTGCTTATAGGTAGCATGAGGGAAAGTATCCAAGTGTAAAGCAGGTTTTCGAACGGGATATATTCTACATCGTAGAGTACGATGATATAACGATAATAATAATAACTACATAATAATATAAACATAACTACTATAATAGCTTTCTTTTTTCCCAACAACGCTTTTGTGCACAGAGTTATAACATTTTCTATTTATGACGCTACAACGATGCACCTCTGAAAAATATATTTTATCTCGGACACAATAGGTGAACGCCTATTATTATGCACAAATACAATTCTTTATTAACGCGAGTAGATTTTTAATTTTCAACCAGCGTTTCACACATCATCATCGGAAAAATGAACATAGGAAAAAAGATAACTGATGTATGTAGTCTGTAAATGTGAGTATTAGACAAAGAAATTAAGAGAAACAATTTTTGACTGGACAATAGAGAAAGGAATATATGAAGGATTATATATTTATAGAACATAATTTATAACCGATTCTCTTTTTATTATGACCTGACGCCGAATATTTTTAGTTTTTTAGTTTATTGTCATTTATCGACTTTCCATAGCTATTATGTGTAAATAAAGTCTCTTTAATTATGAAATAATAAAGAATAAAGAATGGTATTTGTGCATAATAATAGACGTTCGCCAATGCCAAATCAGAACATAAAATTATTGAGCCTAAACATCTAATTGTGTCCGAGATAAAATATATTTTTCAGAGATGCATCGTTGTAGCGACGTATATAGAAAATGTTATAACCCTGCAAAGAAACGCCGTCGGGAAAAAAGAAAGTTATTATCGTCGTCAGCGCATCGCACTCTACGATGTAGAATCACTTGTTGTATTAAAAGAAGCTTACTTGAACAAGATATGGCCAATATCGAAATAATAACACTTATTTTGTACATATGTGTTTCATATAGTTTGTGAGTTGAATATGTAATAATATGATTTTTGATCTTACCATTCATTTGACTTTATTACTTCTATGTATAGTATGCATAGAAGTATGCACAAGAAAATGTATGTATACATTGTATACATACATTTTCTCGCGTAAATTTGAACGAAATAACAAAAGAAATGAAAATTAAATACCGACTTTTGTGGGAAGGAACCTTATCCCATGCAGAGGAAACTCAATCTTGTTTGTCCCTAATATCAAAGTTATTACTTGAAAAAACTTGATGAACTCGCCGGTTTTTACCGGTCTGAAAATATTTTTAGACCGGCCGGTGATTGACCGAACCGGACCGGTCTAGTATTTCCAGACCGGTTACAACTCTGGGATACCCTCTCTCGTGAGCTACAAGTTTTTTAAAATAAGGACTAGGATTCTAAATTTTAATGAAAATTCAAACTTAATTAATTAATAACTCTGTGAATAGTTATCAGTTCATCGACAAAACTGGAGGATGTATGTAATCAGGTTGATAGACCACACATGAGTGCATCTGTTCATCAGTAAAAACATTTTAGAAAGAATCCATAAAACGAAGTCCAGCCAAAAGGACTAACCGAAGTTACAAATCGCTTTTGATGTGAACTATAAAAGCGTAGCGTTCACATCAAAAACGATTTGAAACTTCGGTCAGTTCTTCTGGTTGAACTTTGCTCATAATCCTGCGTAGTGAAACTGTCTTACTATAACAACTTTCTGTTTTAAAAAATAAATTTCTAAAAGAAAGAAAGAAGAGTGTAACAAGGAAACAACTACAGACGACGCGACGATATGACTCCTTGCGCGACGACGAACGAAGTAATCAGAAAAATGAAAACGCACTCGTTATATAGCCCTGAGAAGGAACAAATGACAGACTACAGAATCGATATTGACAGAAAGGAAAAGACACTTGTAGAAGGAAAAAAGATCTCTTTTGTGGCTAGATAGTCACACGAGGCTCAAGCCATATGAAACCTACCACCAGTACATTGACATTCGACGTCAGTGACAATGTCTGCATCATTTTGCAGAACTGGACAAGCTGAATCGAGTGGTGAAAACCGCGTGGTGATAACCGCGACTCTCTAACCTTTTTAAAAAAAAGTTCTACCATTTTATCTGTTGCTAGAAAACCAAACGACCTT